TTTCTAGGGCATTGGGGTCAACAAAGACTGGTCCGCCGAATGGCCCCACAACTGTGAGGTGCGTGTGTGCGCGTGTAGATCGCGTGGGGTATGCCTCAGAACTACAGTGCCCACTTGGCAAGGCCGCTTCGTGCGCCGCGTGATGCCGGCTGCGGCCCCGCGCTGGATCGTATTCGTGCGGCGGTGGCAACGGGACCGGGACCTGGCCCCCTCTTCGCCTAATGGGTAAAAAGGCTCGCTGGTGGGAAACCCATGAATTCTGAGAAGGAAAATCGACTGTTTTGTCTGAAAAGAAAAGTGAATAGTGACACGATAACAAACGTAATAACTAGAGAACACGGGCACCCCAATTCTCCGTTTAGCATCCCCCGTAGTGTAAAAAGCGAAAAAAAAGGATTAAAGCAGTGTGCACGGGGGTGGATTCTTGCCGGCGTCCTGAGCCTCCTTCCCCACTTGATTTGGAAGAGCCCAAGGCGCACCTCCAGAATGAAATGAAATGCCCAAGAAAATCCAACCCGCGGCAGGAAACTAACCCCCAGGATTCGACAGACCAGCCCCAAGGGGAGAAAAGCACGGAGACAGCCGCTCGTATACAACCCCTGCTTCCTATGCGACCCTCATTCCTATGCAACCCTCACTCCTATGGAACCCTCATCCCTATGCAACCCGCATCCCTATGCAACTATTAACACCCCATAAAAAGAAAGGCAGCCAGCCGCCGGCTGCACTTTGTTACGACCTTCGGGCCTCGGCCTGGCAGGCGCACTACCACACAGCGCGCATCCCTTCTCCTCTTCCCCTCCTCCTCACACACCACCCCCGCTGCCCCCTTCGGCCACCACACACGAACTCCAAACGCACGACCCCCCTAGAGCCACTCAAAGGGGCAAAGACCCAACAACGAGCCGTGCGCGCGCCAAACGGCCCCTCGCCGCGAGGCGCTACGCTCTCACCCAAACGGGGATTGCGTTGCGCCACACGCTAGGGCCGCCGGACTCTCACACAGGCTGCTTGCTATGAAGAGACACAGCCGGTGATGGCCTTTCTTTTTATGGTATTAATAGTTGTATAGAAATGTGGGGTGCTTAGGCCGGACTGCCTAGACTGCCGGCGAAGTCGTGTCACACTAGGGGATCCAGAGTTCTTGTGGATGTCCCAAAGAAGTAAAAGCAGGGCTTGGATGGACTCGGTATATTTAAACCTGTACCCTGGGACTTGGTAAGAATTAATAGTGTTCAGTCGGAGTGTTTCATCCACCCAGGCATCCTTTTGGAGTCACTTTCGAATGCCCTCTAGTAAAAGTATACAAGCCCCAACCTTTCCTCCTATAACGGAAAGGTGTGCCAGCACCTAGCTTTGCCAGCCGCCATTGGTACACAACACCGCGAAGAATTGGTTGCATATAATGCGTGGGCCCAGTTGGCACAGAGGCACCATAGCTAGGCCGCCATGGTTTGGGAAAAGGTGGCCGTTTCGCCCACCCCCACCCTCCGGGCCAGCCCCGCTATACCTCAAGTCTAGTATTCTCCATTGATTCTAAGAAGATACGATTTGGCATTTCATTTCTTTCCTGGTTTGCACACTCAGCCCCGGCCACGAAAGCATGGGCGGGCTCGATTGTAATAAATGTCACTGTAAAAAATATTTAGCCATCCACAGGTTTACCATATCTCAGACACGTTTTTATTTCTCAATAAGCATTAAAGTGTCGTTTAAGTGAAGATTTGGCAATATATAAGTCCAGGCCTGTGCGGTGTTTGCTACCCCCCCCGCCGTGGCGGGGCCCTCATTATTTGCTTGCCCATTGGCTTTGCACGCGGAAGTTCCAAAGTAGCACTGCCACACACTAACCACATTGTTTCAAACAATGGTCTACCATAGTTACCGAAATCCCTTCAAAAGCGATTGATCAGCAGTGCTCGATTACGTTTATGTGCATCTTATCCCTTGGGCAAATTATCCGTGGCTATTATTCCATGCATTTAGAGAAATTGCCTAAATTGATTGAAAAGTATTGTTTTTATAAGGTATACCGCTTTCCGTGTGTAGAAAGAGTTATAAATGTGCAAGAAACCCACTTAAGTGCGCATTTAGTCTTTATTATTGGACGTGAGTAGGCTTCATCTTCTGGTGCA